CCTGGTGTGTCCTCCTCAGGATTCCTGTACATCCTTCTCCTCCAGACTGCAAACAGTTTAGTGCTGATCTGGCCTTATATAGTAATTTCCTATTATTAGAAACATTTCCTTGGGATCTTGCTCAGGGAGTAGCAGAGGGAAATCCTGTTTCCTTCATCTAACTTGCAGGCAAAGCACCAGTGCTCACTCTTTCCTTATCTCGTGTGGATGGAACAAGAAGTTTTTGTTGTGATCTGCTTTCCAGCCGTAAGCCCTTTCTAACACTGAGCCTCTTTTCAGAAATGCAGGAAAAGAAATGTGAAGGAATAGGAACTGTCAGTCAGCAGTGTGAGCTGTAAAGTTTTGCCTGCAGCCTGTACATTCTCTGTTCTTTTTCATCATGTTTTCCTCATTCAGATTGAGTCCTTCCTTTGGAAAACCAACTCTCTGTTGAGTGCTGGTTTGTGTGAAAAGCAGTGTGCTAGGATGTTTCACCTGAGAGTGCCAGGGATGGGCAGACAGCCAATGGCTGTGTTAAAAAAGAGGAACAACTTTAAATTAAGGAAGGAGAAGTTTTTGTTCTGCGTGCAGCTAGGATGTGTTTTTAAAGGCGAGACTCGCTGGAAGCACCAAGATATGCACAGGCTTTGAACACTTAATTTTTCCTGTGAAAACATTTTTTCCCCTTAAAAGGAAGATGTAGGTCCTGCCACTAGGAGTGACTGTTTGGAAAGTCAGTCTGCAGGAATGCACATCAGCTGAACTGAGTCAGGCTGTTTGTGTTACCAGCTCCCTCCAAACCCGTCCCTGCCACAACTGCTGCAAATGATTGTGTCAGAGCAGGGCCACAGCAATCACAGGGAATTAACTGCTGGTTTAAACTTTGTTGTTGGAGTCAGTGCAACAATTGCTGTTGGGATTGGAGTGTGTTTGTAAAATCAGGGAAACCCTGACAGGGCCATGAGCGGGAGCAGCCACGGGCATGAGACAAACTGGCATCACATTAAGGGCATCTGGTAATTATAAAGTGGGACTTTGTTCTGATGGCCACTGTCAAAGCCAGCCAGCCATTTCTGTTTCACTGCTTCAGCAGAAAGCAACAACAAGGAAAATTTATCTTAATTTGTTAGATTAACCCAGTTTCTGTTTTCGCTCACGTCATAGACCCAGAATTATTGTGTGTGTGCGGGAGCCATAACTAAATGCAAGCCTGTCATATGTGCTTTTTAATCCATCACCAGGGGCATCAAAACAGGGAACAGCAGTGGCAGAGATAGTGCAGGAATCCAAGGAGACATGTGCATCTACGTTTTTTGCAGTATTCCTCTTTTTTTTTTTTTTTTTTGTATTTATTTGTGAAAAACTGAGCTTGGGAAGAAAAGAAGTTTGGTGTTCTCACTGATGAAGCTTTCTTGAAACAAACAAAACCAGTATTGACAGTTTTAAACATTACAAAGCATAAATTAGAATCCAAAAGAATAATCTAAATATTCTTTGTCTTCTGGTTTTTGAACCCTTTTGGCCACACCTCACTATTTTTAAGGTTTTGTCTTTAACCCTGCAAACACCTTCATACAGAATTGGGGAATTCAGTCAGCTTTTGATGTCATGAAGTTTGCAGTAAAGTGAAGGAACTTTCACCATCTTGAGGCACCTTTTGAGTGAGTATAATGAGCTTTTGGTTTAACCTTTCTAGGTGTGCAGTTTCATAACTGAGCAGGAATGTTGTGTCTCCAGGGGCCAATGTCTTGTGTTCAAACCTCTGCTCATGGTTACTTGTTTGGAGCACTCTTGAGAGGGGAAGAGGAGATGTTTTAATCCAAAAACTGGGTAGAAAAGAGACAATTCTTAGCAGAACTAATAATGTAATGAGTAGGTTTTGCCTTTTTATCAAACCTGTTAAATATTTAGCATTGCCTCTTTGGCAGGGTGTTGATTTATCCTTATCCTGCAGTCAGATGTTCATCCTCTGTTGGACACAAGGTGTTTTTCCTAAGCAGTGGGACAAATGTTCCTCAGAACCTTCAGCTTCTGCTATAGGGTGTTTTAAGAATGTGAGGCATTTTAATCAGTTTTAGATCAGGATAATCTGGACAGCAGGACACGTATGACAGGTTAAAGACATTTCTATTTTTTGATTAAGATGTTCCTCTGACCTGCAAGAGGAAGGGCTCTCAAATTCCTGGCCTGTTTAGGGTGGTTTCTTTCCCATGGTATTTTTGCCAAGTGCTTTCTAATTATGGAATGTGTCTTATTCTGTAGTTCTTTTGTAAGGCAGTAATAACAAATATAAAAATCCAGAAAGAACTCACTCACTGATGATGAACTTGACGCCTTTTGGAATAACATAGATGTGATCCACGTTGATTTTTGAACAGCATAAACCCAAGGCAGTATCTCATACCTCCAGATTTATATTTGCAGTGGAATCTACACTGCAGAGGGGAACACTGATGGTGTTTTCGTGGGGCCAAACTCTTTATTTTTTCAGCAGAGCCACTGCTTGTGGGTGTAGCTGAGCGAGTCACGCTCGGCTCTGCGAGCCTGTCAGAGCAGGGCTGACAGGAAAGGTTTCCAGTCCCCTTGCTTTGAATGTGAAATTGTATGCAGGGAATCAGCTGCTTATCTGCAACGAGCAGAGCAATCCCTGTGCTCTAATCCAGGGTTTAAATGAGTCACTTCTAACTGGCGAGGCCTGGAAAACTTGATTCATCCCTCAGCCTGTAGTTGCCTGTTGGAGTGAGCCAGACCTTGCCAGCCATCCTCAGCAGAAATCACAGACAAGGGCTGGGCTCTGCTGCTGGAAAGGAAGAGTCTGGTTTTATCACCTTCATAATCCAGTATCAAGATCTTACAGAGTAAAATGATCTCTCTGCTTTCCTATGTTTTTCCCTCCCTCTCCTAATTTAGGCTAATCCACATGCAGGAGTGTTTTCCTCGCCAGCAGAAGTTGGGCAGTAGTTTGGCTGCAGAAAAAAGCATTTTGAGTAAAGGTCTTTCCAGTGGATAAATAAATAAAAGGGTTCTTCTGCATGAAAAAACCAAGGGAAATATGTAAAAAATGTACTTCTAAGTGCTGGGTTGTTGTATATTCTTCTCTTATGTGGCATTTTCAGTGATGGGATGTGATCTGAGAAGTGTTAGGAGGTGTTAGCTAGGGAAAAGGTTGAGTTGTTTATGTGAAGATAACTCTGCTAATACTTAGAATTATAACAGGAGTTTAACTGAACTTGTTTGGTGACAATTAGATTGGTTTGAAGAGTGGAGCACTGACATTGTCCTCCTGAAGAATTAGTGCTGTGCCAGGCCACAGCTTTAGTTATGCTTGGAAAGCTCCTGGCTCAGGGCTCACTGTTGTGTTTCACTAATGGCTGATGTGGCTCAGTTTGGGAAATGGAGTTTATATCACCTCTGGTCTCACCTGTGCACAGGACAGGGGCTTGGAGTAGTGTCCACTTCCTTCAGTGCCAGCCCAAAACTAAACCCTCCTCCGAGCCACATCCTGAAGCTGCTGCTGTTAAAAATTCACCCAGCTGAGGTAAGAAGTGAATGAAAGTCCTGCCAAACAGAGTTGTGCAAGAACCACAAATCATGTTCAAAATGGAGTCTGGGAGGGCAGAGGAGCTGTGGCACTGCAGAGCTCCCAGCAGCCCAGCTCCGTCCCAAATCCTTGGCACAGTCTGCCTGTGACATCCACAGCAGCCAGGATCTCTGGGATCTCTGCCTTGGGCAAAGCTAATTAGAGGGGAGTGCTGCACCCAACCACTGACAACATCTGCTATGTGTCTTTGCTTTTAAATAGCCTCCTCTCTAAGGAGGTTGAAGCCTTTTAGCCTTTTGCTCTAAATCTTTTTAATTCAGAGCTTGGCTTTACTCTTCCTGTAGCAGAATTTGTGAAGGATGCATTTTGATAAGAAGGAAAAAAACAAAGCAAACAAAAACCCCTTTTAAGCAGAGCTGAGTGCAGATAGTGCCAGTCATGAAACATCAGCAGCTGAGCTTGGGAATTATTCCATGGCTCTGCATGTTCAATAATTAGAGAATCTGCTTGACAGCTCACAATATGAATTGCCTGAAATACCTGAGGGGTGGCATCCTCTCTAACAAATTTATATATTTATTTACACTACCTACAGCTCCTTTTAGGATAGATGCCCAGCTTAGTCCATTGAGGAACAAAATAATAGAATTATTTTAGATTGGAAAGAATTTGTGGAGATTTCTGGTCCAACCTCACTTCCGGGCAGGACTAATTTAGATCAAGTCACTCAGTCATTGTCTGGTTGAGTTTTAAATATCTCCAGTGATAGTTTCACAACCTTTTGGGACCCCTGTTCCAGTATTTCACAGCACTCACTGGGGAAAAAAATTTCCCAATAACTCATTGGAATTTCCCTTCTTCCAGCTAATGTCCACCGTCTCTTATTCTTTCACTTTTCCCTAATGCTGGTAAAGGCTGTGCAGTATTTTTGTTAGAATGCCCTTATCTCAGGCAGGTGGGTGGGAAATGAGGTGGGGTTTTCACACTCTTGGTGTAGCTGTGATCACAAATAATTCTGTGTGAGAACAGATGAGCTCAGAGACAGCAAAATGTGCAACTTCTCTTTGCAAGGGCTGGGGACTGAGGGCAGCAGTGCCTTCACTGTGTCCTCTAGAAAGCTCTTCCTTGGGTAGTGCAGGTTGTTTTGTAATAAAGACCTCAGAACTTCCACGTAAAGTGGGGAGTTTGGTGCTGGATGGCTCCAAAGGAATCTGGAATAAAATACTGCTGAGCCAGGTAGGACAGGGCTTGGTGGAATTGGAAATAAGTGAAATTTAAGGTCCCTTCCAATCCAAACCATTCTGTGATTCTAAATCCTTGTGAAGGCAAACTGCATCCAACCCTGGACTCCTTGTGGCCCTGTGATTTCCTGAGGGGGTGATTCCAAGTGTACTGTCAGTGCCAGGGTTGGGATTGGGTGTTTGTTGTGTTTGGGGTGAGCTGGGAGTGGGTTTGGGGAGCCCTGCCCACGCTGCTGTTCCAGGACAGTAACCCAGTGTCCCAGAGCTCATCTCTTCCTGTCTGATGGCTGTGGTTTGTGTGCTGGGCTCGGCCCCAGCTTTTCCAGTGCCTGGGATTACTTTTCTTTCCGTTTTTCCCTGTCACTGGGCAGCGGGAACTCCGCGGCAGAGCGCAGCTGATTTCCCTGGGACTGCCTCTGCTGGGCCGCTCCTGGCTGGGAGGGAGTTCTCCTTGGAAAACGCCCTCTCCACATGCTCCAGTAGGAGCTGGTGGGAGGGAGGGAGTTCTGACTGCACTGAAAATGCCATGAAAAAAAAAAATTAAAAAAATAAAGGAACTGACAGAAGAGAGAAGTTGTCTTCAGATTGCTGCTTTTTGCAGCGGCGTAAGCGAAGGCTCTGCGAGGGCTGCAGGAGGCAGAGATGAAGTTCCGAGGCGGGGTAAGGTTTATTTAACTCCTCTGGTGGCTTTGCAGCTCTCAGATGCCGGTCTGGTCTCAGAAGAAGAGAGGAGAAACATTTTCAGGCTTTCAGCAGGGAAGTGAAATGCTTTGAGAAGGATCTCTTCATTTAAAAGTTGTGTGAAAAGGGGTGAAATGAGCTAAAAACTCAGAGAATACCTGTTGGGAGGAGGAAGGCAAGGTGGGAGTTGAGAAAGTGGGAAGAGAGGAGAGAGCTGGGCTCTGCTTTAGGAGGGAAGAAAGGGTGGAGCTTTCACTTGGGCACAAGGATGTGAAGGGACCGTCCTGGAGCTGGGCTCTGCTCTTCTCCTTCCCAGGGCTCCTGTCCAATTCCTGCCATCCTAGGGAATGGCAGGAAGTACCTGCTTAAGGATTCATTGCCACTCAGCTTCTCCAGGCTGTTTTAGTTTAGGAAAACTTTGTCCATGCTTTAGCAGCAGCCAGAACACCTGGCCCTGCATCCTGCATGGGACAACCCTGGGCTTGGGAAAAGGATTTTGTGGCAAAAGATTGACAGGACTGGGATTATTACCTGGAAAAAAAGATGAGGACAAGAGGAGGAAAAAAAAAAATAACAGTGCCACAGAAAACACAGAACTCCTTTTTCTGTGTTGTGTAGCATGGGAACAGGGACACTGAATTAAGCTAAAAGTTGCCAAAGAGATGCAAAGATTATTTTCATACAGTGAATATTTGGGCCATGGAATTCACTGACTCTGGAAGATGCTGAGGTCAAGAATGAGGGAGTGTTATAAAAAAAGTGTGTGGGCTTTTGCCTGGATAAGAATGCTCGAGGCTTTAATTGGTAAAGTGACCAAATTTAGGAAGAGAAGAGTTGAAAACGTTGCTTCTGTAGATTGGAGCAATTCTGTGTTAAAGAAGAGTTACCATGGGGCTGGTGTGTCCCATACCTGCTCAATCCAGAGATCCTTGCTTGTTTTCCCAAATATTCTAGTGCTGACCACTGAGAAAATGATGAAGGGCAGGGCAGAGCTTTTGGAGACCCTCCTCTGTGGAAGTGGAGGTGCCAGGGCTCCACAGGCTGTTTCTGCTGGTATCTGGTGTGCTGGGGCCAGCCCCCGTGCCCAGCTGTGGGCTGGAGGAAGGCTGGCAGAGGTGGCAGTGGGATGGGCAGAGGTGGTGCCCGGGGTGGTGCCCAGTTCCCCGCGGGAGCTGTGGGGTGGAGGTGCCCTTCGCGTGGCCCCGGAATGCTCTGGAGCTCTCTTTGGAAAGTTTGAGTCTCTGAGAGAGCTCGTGGTGTGAGAGGGCTCTGTGGGGGTGTGGAATGCAGTGGGGAAGGGAAGGGCTGCCAGTGGGACACAGGGCATCGCCAGGGCACGGGGCACAGGCAGTGCCCCAAAGCTGCCAGGGGCACAGGCAGACCCTGGCTCTTCATGTCTGAGCTTCTGCCACCCTTCACCTGCTCAGCTGCTCTGGAAATCAGCACCAAAACTCATTGGAAAGGGCAGCAAGTTGATGTTTTGCCTTTTTAAAATGCCTTTTTGAAATCTTTGTCCTCTGAAGCTGCTGTGGGATGCCCAGGCCTGTGGGCACAGGTCTCCTGAGCAAACTGCCACCAGCAACATCTTTGAACCAGCAGCAGCTTGTGCCATCTGTTCAGGAGCAAAAATGTCAGCTCCCTAAATATAGAAATTCTGTGTATTTACTTTTCCAGCCCTGGTGATCTTTCTTTGCCTAGTTCATTTTTCTTAGTGCTCTTTTATATTTAGCCTGTTGATTGAAATATCATTACCCCTCTTGATGGTAAACATTTTTCCTGTCCTTCAAATCAGTTCTTACAACTGCCTTTTCCTTTTCACTGCTAATTGCTTATTTCCTTACTCATCCCCCCACAAAGTAAAATCTGGAAGGTATAATTATGTTATAAATATTGAACAAATAATATTAGCTACTTATTATTTCAATTTGTCCCTACCCAAAATGTGGAAAACGTCAAAGAAATTACAAAGAATTAGTCAAGGATGTAGCATTTCTTTTTCTTGAATATAATTTTTTTAATAGTGTATTCTGAAGTTCCATCCTTCCATCTGGTTAGGATGGGAAGTATCAGAGGGACAACCAAGTTCTGAGTTCCCTAACTCCAGACATTCCATTGCTGGTGATGTATTGGTCTAAAATAAGCAAGAATAAAAAGTAATTCTGAGAAAAGGTCCTTGAGTGGCAGCTGCAAACTAAAGTTGTTTCCTCTAATTCTGCTGGTCTGTGTCACCAGCGTTGTTACCTGCTTTGGTCCCAATCCACCTGACAGCTCTGGTTTTCCCAAGTTGTCCTTTGGGAAATCACCTCATTTGCCTTACATAATTAAAAGCAAAACATAAAGCATTTCCTTTTGTTATTTGATTTTTTTTTTTTAACTAAACAAGCCAAATACCTGTCTTATCAATTATTAGCTGAGGTGGCTTCAGAAAGGGCAGACAAACCCACGTGGTTGCTTGCAGGGGATTTTTATGGGAGACACAGAGCTGCCTCTCAGGGAATCTTTCTTTCCAACCCAGCTGTTGACTAACCCAGGGAGCTGTGTCCAGCACGAGCAGCTGATTTGCAGTGTGGCAGGAGGGAGGAGGATCCCGAGTGGCTGCACTTCAGTCTGCCAGGGATTTGCTGGCAGATTCCCTCAGTCTGGTCCACCTCTGCCATCCTCATTATTTCTTTCTGCATGCAGAGGGAAAGAGGAGCTTTCCCATTCTGCACCTTGGGAATTGAGGCCGTGGATACAACAGTTGATTTTTGTCTGCTCTGCTGTCTGGCCCATGTTGTGTCCAAGCTCTTTCCCAGGCTGTAGAATGAAGTAGAAATCAAAGGAATTCTTTTTCTTTCCTTCAGCTTTGGCATGACAGTGAAGAATGTCCAACTATCCATGAGACAAATGTTTTTTTGCTGCCACCTCCCCACGAGAAGTTCGTTCTTGGTTCAGGCTTGCATTGTCTTCCAGAATCTAATCTGAATTTCCCTTCCCACTCACATTTGGTTCTGGCCTGTTCTTCCGTTCCCGGCTTTGTGACTATTTCTGGAGCCTGCAGATCAATCATCTTGCACTTGATACCAAGATAAAGGTGCCTGCCTCTTCCCAGATGGAGCCACTTCCTGGGGTTCTTCCAGAGAATCTCCTGATGGATACAACCCAATCTGTAAAAATACATTGCCAGGAGAAAATATTGCAAGATATATTTTTAGGTGTTGAAACACAAGTTCAGTTTGTGTTGTGACTTTCCTTTCTGAATCAGTTGTGCAGTTTCCCTGCTCCATACAAGACCATTCACTTTGAGAATTCCAGGTGTTTTCTCATGGAAAGGAGTGGGAAGTTGCTGGTGCTGCCTGTTCCCTCAGTGTGTCTGGAGTTGAGTTTTAAACCATTCCAGTACCCCTCTGGGAAAATCAAGCCTGGGAGTGAGTCTTGGTGCCACATTGGGTATTCCATGGCTGTGGAGCAGCTGCTGGACAAAGCCAGGGGGAGTTTCTTGCTCTGCTCAAGCCCCTGTGCTCATGGCAGTGCTGCTCTCCCATTTTCCAGCACAAATTCCCCCAAATTTGTGCTCAGCCTGGCTGACTCGAATCCTTTGGATTTTGCTGTGCAGAGCAAAAGGTCCTGTTTTTCATTTCTGAGGTGTATTAGTTCTCCATGTCCTAAGCAGAGGAAAAACTTTATCATGCTTTGGCATTCAGCAGAGTTTAAAGGAAAAATATGTGTTTACACCTTCACAATCCCTCGTCAGCGATTTCCCAGCTCAGTTTAGGAAACTCCTTGGTACAGTCTTGAGTGGTTTTGTACTCCCAGGAGCTTGGAGGTATTTGCTGGTCTTGTTGACTCTTGTATGAACACAAAGAAAAGCTGGAACTCCAGCCAATGTAAACCTGACTCTGCAGGCTGCATTCAGCAACCAATTTACACCAGCCGAAAGTCTTTCCCAAAATTCAATCCCAGGGCAGAAAAAGCCTTGTGGAAGCAGTGCAGCGCTGGTGATTGCACTGGCCTGGTCCCCACCATTCCAGAGGGACTTTTCCCTTCCTGGCCTTGAGCCACTGTTGTGCTTGAGGCTCCGGAGAAGACATTAAAAGCAAAGAGTGGGTTAAAATACAATGTGGGAACGAATCCCTGGAAACGGCACCATGGGGTGGCTTTGGGAAATTTGGCAGAAGTGAGTTTGGGCACTCTGGAGGGGAGTGACCTTCGGGACAGCAGGTTCAGCATGGGATGAAAGGGGGGATTGAGGGGAGGCACAGGCACTCCTGAGCCCACAGGCACCAAGATCACATGCAGATTGCTCAGGTTTTTGCCATTCCCCTTTTGCAGCCTGTGCTGCGTGTGGCATTAGGTGTCTCCATCCTACAAAGGTCAGGATCCTCGGCTGCATCCTCCTTTTGATCCCATAAGGGACCTATAAGATGGACCTGCCCTAAATAACTGATTCAACGTGCTCCCCTTCCTCCTTTCCCTGCCTCTGACACTCCCAGTCTCACAGGGAGAAAACCCAGAGACAATCACCAGATTCTTTTTTTCCTGGTCTTTGCTTTGCTGATGGAGTTGCGCTGGTTTGGTTTGGGGGTGTTACCCGGTGCCAGGGAGGCAGCAAAGCCTGGAGGAGGGATTTGATGTTGAGCTTTAGGCTAAGCCCAACCTGCCTCTGAGGTGGAACTTTCCCAAGCATTTTGAGGCAGCAGGAACTGGCCCTGCTGCTGAATCCTGGCTCCTCCCTGACCCTGCTGTGCTTCCCCATCACCCTGTCCCTGGCCATCCTCATTACACGTGGGACCAGTGTGGGAAAATTACATGGATTAACACAATAAAAGAATCTGAGTTGGTTTTAATCCCTGTCAGATTTTCAGCCTGGTTTATTGCACAAATCCTGGGCCAGTGCAAACCAAAGGGTGCAGCTGCACAGAGGTCATCTCTCAGTATCACAGCAGCTCCTCTTCCACTGTGCTCCCCTGGCAGCTTCCAGAAAAACTGATTTCCACAAGGAGGGGTCTGATCAGACCCTCACAGCCTTTGTTCTCCCAGTTATCTGGAATATACTCCCTGCCACAGGGCGAGTGGTCCAAGCTGATCTCTTGCCTGGATGTTGTAAATGTATCTCAGTCAGAGGTGCTTTGGCACAAAGAAATTCATCCCCTGCAAAGACGACAAGAGAATCCGTGTTGTCCATAGACAAACTGCTTTAATGGTTAATTAGCTCCACTGTACCACGTTTAACCCCCCCGACTGGGTTTTCTAGCATTAATTTACAGCCACCAGATCTGGTGCCTGCCTGCTAACAGAAACTCGCCAACATTTTTGGTTATTTTAATTTATTCAGTGCCTTGCTGTCACATTCATCATTCAGTAGGAACATATGATCATCACTGTGATTATTTTTTCTCAAGTAGTGTCTTCCCCCACCACTTCCTTCCTTCTGCATGACTGTTCTGTTTCCATTTTGCAAAAAGGGTTTATTTCCACCTCCTTTTATGGCCCATGTGTGGATGTCAGTGGCAGTGAAACAGTTAAGACTGACATTTGAAGCTGGTGGTAGACTTGGACATATGCAATAAAGCAAAATGCTGGCATGGAGCAGTGCCTATTGCTCAGCTCTGGCTTATATTTGCACTCAGCTTGGGCTTGGGGAGGGTACAAGACTGAGTGAAGTTTATATTCAGGAGGCTCTGACTGCATCACATCCCCTAGGCACATTTAATTATCACCAAAAATCCACTTTCAGTCATTGGTTTGGCTTTTGTTTCAAGCTGCCTGCAGATTTGAGGTGGTTATTTTGTTCTCACGGCGAGGGGTTGGAGTTGAATGAGGAGACAAAAACTGGAGGAAACCGAAAGTCCTTGGCCTTAACTGCCTGTCCCAGAGGAGGTGGCAGGAGTGGAATTTTCTGTGTTGTGAGGGGGATGCATTGACTCTTCCCTCTCCTGGATGTGCACAGCTGGGATCACTTTGTCCTGGCCCCAGGGAAGGGCTGATGAAAGAGCTGCTGAGGTGAGGTTTTCTGTGAAAGGCTTCAGGATTACATAAACTGGGATTAACTGTGCGAGGGTGGAAGTTTCTCCTCAGTCCTTGTTGAGGCAGCTGAGTTTTAGGACTATCGTTGTAAATTTACCCACTTGCAAAGGAGTTACTTTCCTTTGGTTTTGCCTTTGTTCTCATCACCTTGGCCAAAACCTGCTCTGGGATTGCTCTGCTCTGTAGAAGGATTCCAATGTCTAGGCAGAGTTTATTTGTATGTGATTTAGCTCTATTTTCCATTCCTTGTCTCATCACCTCCCTTCTCCAAGGGTTATCCCTTTTCTCCTCACCTTGGTTAAGAGGGTAGAAGACAACAGAGCATTTTGCTGAAGCTGTGAAGGACTTGGCTTGGAAAATTTTGGACATTTTAGAATGATTACTTCATGAGAGTATCTGCAGAATTCCTCCCAGGCTGTGTCTTTCCAAGCTTAGAACTCGGGCCTTCCAGACCATGAGACTAATTGGAAAAAATAAAACAGGAAATCAAATGATGTTTCTTTGTGGTGTTTGAGCCATTAGAGTGGGTCTGGATTTGAGATTTCCAGAAGGAACTGATTTTCCTATCTGAAAACTGCTTGGTTCAGGCAATCATTTCTGCCCAGGCTTACAGGGAGGAAGCCAATTAGAACTGGCAGAAATAGGCAAAACTGCATTTACTAATCATTTACCAAATTAAAAAAAAAAACATTTACCCAGAAATTGGTGAATTGATACAACTGCAGACTGAAGGGATTTGCACCTGGTTTGACCCAAATTTATACTTGAATGACTCTTGATTTTATTACTGTTTAACACAACTTCAGGTAAATTTTCTTCCTGACCAAGGCTGGGTTTATTTTTCTCCCTGCACATCAGTCCCTGTGGTTTACCACTTTTACATCTTGGGAAGGTGCAGAGAGCAACTCTGTGAGTCAGTACATGTCATCTTCATCATTGTGCAGGGTCTGGCATTCCCAGGTTGGGATGGATGTCTGGGGTCGCTGTTGGTGCATGAGCCTGATTTAGGAACAGACCCCTCTGGTGTTTGTGCAACATCCCAAAATATCACTTAGTGCTTTAGGGAAAAGGTTGAGGAGAAAGGTGCTACTATGAGCAGTTTGCAAAGTAAGAAGGGTTGAAGAAGGTGAGGAAATGCACCTCTGCAGGTGTGAGGCAGAGGGTTTCACACGTGGTTTCTCCTGTCTCTGGTTTCTGTGGTGCCTCTCTCTTCCCCACCTCTGTCCCTCGAGTAGAGATTTCCCCAGCAGGCAGCCACTGAGTCACCCCTGGGTGCAGATTTCCCCTCCCTCTTTACAGTGAGGTCAGGAGTCAGCAGATGAGTGCTTTCCACGGATGCTTGTGACTCCCCCACATCACATTGAAAATTTAACCTTTAAAGGAGGGTCAGTGGTAGGAGTCTCGATGCACGTCGGTGTCACGGTCTAAATTCAGTGGCGTGGGTGCAGAAATGCCCATTTCTCATTTCTTCTCAATTTTCTACGAATTTTCCCATTGGGTGCCTTGCTAAAACTTTTAAATTGGTCAGCAATGTGAAGCTGTTTCCTTCTGAGATGAATCATCATTAGTCATAAAAGATTCCTTACCTCGAAACAGCTTCCCGTTGTGAAATGAGAGAGAGGAGAGAACACATTTCAGTCTCTCTCCTGCTAACAGATGTCTGGGAAAGGAAACCCAAGTTTTATTCTCTTTATCCAATGTTTGTTTCTTTGGTTGATTTGAAGTTATTGGAAATTAAGCAGTAATTTTTCCCTAATGCTGGCTTGTCTTCCCTCAAAGCAATTAGAGCAGCCGTCTGATGAAGTGTTGTAATCACTGTTTTCAGCAGCAACAGTGGGATTATTTTAATATCCCACTTGAATATCTCATTTTAATATGGTTATCCAAGGGTAACTGTGCTTCTTGTGGACTCAGGGAAGTGCCTGCAAACCCACAGCCATCCCAAATTCCCTGTGCTTTTGGCTGCAGGGATTGGGAGCCAACGGCATCCGGCTGACCATGGAGAGCGCTCTGACGGCCCGGGACCGCGTCGGGGTGCAGGACTTTGTCCTGCTGGAAAACTTCACCAGCGAAGCTGCATTCATTGAAAACCTGAGGAAACGCTTCAAGGAGAACCTGATCTATGTGAGTGGCGCAGGGACAGTCACCAGGGTGTCCCTCAGTGACCTGGGGTGTGCTTGGTGCACGGGATGAGCCCGCCTTGGCTCTGCAGCGGGGTTTGGAGGTGCTGGTGGCAGCTCCAGCACCATGGGGTTTGTGCCAGGACCAGTCTGGGGTGCTGGCTTTGATGGGTGTAGGGACTCACTGCAGTGCCCCTGTTGAGATCTGGTGGCATTGACAGCACTGAAAACCCAACCCCCACCACACTCTTCCGAGTTCACTCACTTCCACAACCCCAGACTTGAACTCGATCCTAAATGTTTATCAGAAATAATCCAGAATTGTGGCTTGTTGGAAACCCTAAAACCATTTGAGGTGCTTTTTACTCAGCGAGGATAACATGGCTGGCACAACTCCAGCAGCGTCACTTTCCCAGAGCTGAGAGTTCTCTTCCTCAGCACCCTTGACCTGCTTGGAAACCCTCAGCAGCATCCCCAGCGCAGCAGGATGGGTGTCCAGCCTCCAGAGACGCCTGAGCTGTGCCTCCAGACCTCCTGGAAGCTCCCTGCTTTGTGTTCTGTTTTCCAGACCTACATTGGCTCTGTGCTGGTGTCTGTGAATCCCTACAAGGAACTGGAAATCTATACGAAGCAGAACATGGAGCGCTACCGCGGCGTCAGCTTCTATGAAGTTTCTCCTCACCTGTGAGTGGGTGCCAGGGCAGGTTTTGTCACTCCCACGCAGCTGGGACACGTGAAAAAAGGCAAAACCAGGACTTTGCCCTGTCCCAGCAGCTCTGGAAGTCCTAGGGACAGAGAGGATCCTCCGAGGGTGTGGTGTGAGGCTCTTTCTATTCCTGTTCCTCTCTCCAAAGAGGACGAGTTGCCTTTGCGAGGGCAGTATTTGGAAAGGGAGTTGGTTCCTTCCTGGCTGCAGGAACAGAGTTGCTTACCCAGCCCTGGCAGGACAGGAGTTCATTGTTCCAGGGTTATTTGGGGTCTCTGTGTCCGGGGCTAAGTAGGGGAAAGAGTTTCTGCTGTGTGGGGGTTTCTTTCCTACCTCTGCTGTTACTGCCTGACCAATATTTATCTGGTATTTCCCTTGTTGCTAAGATACCATCAGCCTGTTGGAACAAGGAATGTATTTATTTACATGGTCTGGCTTGGTGAGCATTCCCAATTTCCCATTTAAAAAAAAAAAAAAAAGTTTGAGGTTTAAAGTTATTTTTGAAAGCGTTTGAATTTTTCTTGCCAGACTGAAAGAAAAAGATGACTGAGAGCTGAGGCCACATGGCTTCAAAATGGTTTTTCTTCAGGACTAAAGGCCAAATTCTGAGCACCTCTTGGAGGATTTTTTATGTTGTGTTGTGTTTTGTTGGGTTTTTTTTTAAGACATCTTGGAAGAGTAAATGATATTATTTTTGAGAAAACTATTTGGATTGTTTCTTATTGCTGGCACAGAGCCCAGGAGAGTAAACAAACCAGAATGTGCTGCAAGCACAGAGAGGGGGAGAAACACCATTACTTGGGAAAGTCTCAGCACTTCATGTTGGATTTGTTAGGACAAAAATACGATTTTTTACTGTGTGAACCCAGATGGGGGAGAATTAAACCTGAAAAACCCTGCATTCAAACCTCAGTTCTCCTTGTCTGTAGGCAGGGAATGGATTCTGTACCCTTAAATGTGAATTTTGGGACTCTCTGGAAAATCCTTGGAGTGTGGCTCTGTTTTAAAGGTGCAGTAGGTACAGGATGATGACAATGCTCGTGGATAGCATGAAGCACTGAGCAGACGTGCTTTAATTCCACTTAAATCACACTGTTGCTGATTATTTCTTAGGCTTTCTTTCCTTTTAACAAGTCCCTTCAGATGCTGTAAAATGTGCAGCTCATAAGTGAGTCCAGGAGAGCTGTGATCCTGGGTTCTGCTGCTCCCACTGGGAGAACAGAATTTTTTGCTGACTTTTTTTGCTGTTCTATTGCATTATTTGATTATTTTATTGCATTATTTGATTATATATGCATTTAAAAAATCCTCTGAGGAGCATCAAAATGCTCCATCTGCAGTATGGTGCTCTGGGCTTCTCCTTTTCCTGTAACTCATATTTTTTCCTCTTTCTCTTCTTCCAAACTGACTCTAGAAAGCCAAAACACTTCCAGATCTCTATTCCAGTGTCAGATAATTCAGCTGGGTTTTCTGGGAAGTGCATCACACTCAGAGGAGGAAAGTTATCCCTCTGGGCTTGGAACCCAGCATATTCCCAGAGATCTGTCACATCCTGTCCTGTTTATGGCCTGCAAAGGGGACCATAAACATCTTTATTTCCAGTGACTCTGTGCCTGACTGGAGCTCTCGGGGCCATAAACCACCCCATAAAGGCACAGGGGCCAGAGGCACTTCTTCAAATCCAAATTAAATCTGCATTTATTCAGCTGTTTTCCACAAGACTCCAGAGGCAGAATCTGGATGGGAAGAGAGGGACATGATGTATTTTGTGGGGTGAGATGTGTTGCCAAGGGAGCTCATTGGTGTTGCCTTAGCACCAAGTATTAATAGACTGGAGAAGTCCAGGGCTGTTATTTTGGTGTGATTACTTCTAATTAATAGCACAGCAGGAGAGTTAAAAAAAATAAATAAATAAAGGGAAAAAAAATTTAAAAAGCCAAGCTGCTAAAATGTTGTCAGGTGTGTGAAGAAGAGAAGAAGACAGGATACCTGCTTGCTCACCACATGTGAGAGCTGAAAATGTTAGGGAGGTTCTCTTTTCCTGTCCCCATTGTCACTCATCCCCTGCTGCTCTCTGGTGCTGCAGGAGTGTGTGTGGCTGGGTTGAGGTCCTGTCTGCTCACAACACAGAAATGAAAGAAAAAGCAGCAAAGGAGGAAGCAGAAGGGCAGGGCCAGGCTCTGTGCAGGGAGAGGAAGTGGGGCAGAGGGGATCTGCAGGATGCTCCTTAATCTGTGGTGGCTTTTCCAGCTCTTCCCACCATCCAGGAGAAGCTCTGGAGCCACCCAGACAGCAAAATTCTGTTGTGACCTTCTGAGCGTTTCATCACTTAGAAAATAAGCAAGAAAAAATACCAGCAGAGAACGAGGTGTTTCCTGAGTGTAAAACTTTTCTGTCCCACGGGACCAGTGTTGAGAGATCATTTATATTTAGAAAAGCCAGTTGATCTGCACAATTTAGTCTACTTCTACCTTTTTTTTGTCAGAAAAAAAAAGTCAAAAGAACAGTCTCAAAGAATTTGACAGTTTGTGTCGCGACCCTGCAGAAGGCTGGCTCGGGTGAGGTGTGAGCAGAGGTGTCCGTGCTGTCCCGTGTTGTCACCAGCGTGCAGGAGCTGGGATCTCAGGCAGCCCGGGGCTGTTTTTGGGGGATGTCTGTGCCGGGATTTCACGGGCAGACGCCTGATCCGAGCTGTACCCCCGCAGCTACGCCATCGCGGACAACTCGTACCGCTCGCTGCGCACCGAGAGGAAGGACCAGTGCATCCTCATCTCCGGCGAGAGCGGCGCCGGCAAAACCGAGGCCACCAAGAAGATCCTGCAGTACTACGCTGTCACCTGCCCCGCCAGCCAGCAGGTCGAGACCGTCAAGGACCGGCTGCTGCAGTCCAACCCCGTCCTGGAGGTACCTCCCGCCGAGTGCTGGCCCTGGGGATGCTCCCGGTTCCCCGTAGGGGCGCTGGGGACAGCGGGACCCCATGGAGCGGTGACACGGCGTGTGCTGGGAATGCCGGCTGGGGGAATCCCGCTCTGATTCCCGGCCAAAGCAGTCCTGGCCTTGCCAGCCCTCCAGGAGCAGCTGTGGCACGGATGGGGTTTGGGGACAGAGGGGATTTGGTGTGGGAAGAGCTCCGGGTCGCTGCAGGGCTCGGCAAAGGGGCAGCTCAGACAGGCTGGGCTCAGTTTCTGGTGCTGTGGTGTCCTCTAGTGTCCAGCCCTGGCTGCGTGCAGTGCCGTGAGATATCCCTGTGCTCTGTGTCCCTGTATCCCTGTGTTCTGTGCCCTGTGTCCCTATATCCCCGTGTCCCTGTTTCCCTGTGTCCCTGTGTCCTATGTCCCTGTGTCCTCTATCCCTGTGTCCCTATATCCCTGTGTCCCTGTATCCCTGTGTTCTGTGCCCTGTGTCCCTGTATCCCTGTGTCCCTATATCCCCGTGTCCCTGTTTCCCTGTATCCCTATGTCCCTGTGTCCTATGTCCCTGTGCCCTCTATCCCTGTGTCCCTATATCCCTGTGTCCCTGTATCCCTGTGTTCCTGTGTCCCTGT